ATGAAATGTACATAGATGTATACACATATGTGTGCATGTTAAATCAGGAAGGGTATGGAATTTTCATCTATTTTAATTTTAATCTATTTGATTGATTATGAACCTATAGTTTGGACCAAGCACTAGACAGAGAGCTATGATACATGGAGGAATAAATTGCATGTAGAAAACCAGTACAGAAAGATTTTCCATTTTCTAACACGTAGAGATCAAAAGTTTCACTTGCATTTGGCCTATATCAAGTCATGAAGGCTATTTACTGCCACATTGTCTCATCTGAGAAAGAGATATAATAGGGCCAAAGGAAACTACAACTACCACACCAACAGCAAACATCTTGGGAAGTTTATGCCAGGTCCTGTCCTAAGCATTTTAAATGCCTTAACTCAGCCCTCACAACAACTGTGTGAAGCAGATAGGATTATTATTGTCATTTTGCAGATGAGGACAATGTACAATGTAAAACTGAGTGACTTACACAAATGATGTGACAAGTGAGTGGCTGAGCAGGGATTTTAAGGCAGGAAGTCTGGCTCCAAAGTCCAGATTCTTAACCCCTGCATCCCAGTGTCTTCTCACCAACCACAAGATTGTCATTTAAATAACATCAGTTTGAAAGCTGTTAGGACATGCTTAGCCTTACTGTCAAAATAGTTCATATTTTTTTTTCTTTCCTCTTTGACTCCTTGAAACCACCCAATGAAGTCGGGTTTGCTATCTCAATTTTATAAATGAGGAGTTTAGAACTTCAAAAAGCTTTGCTTTATTTTATTGTTTCGACTTTCTTCTCCCATAGTGTTATTGGTGTTAGGGAGGCAGAAATAGGATGAATACTTGAGAACACAGATTCCCAATACTGAAAAGGAAGGGAATTAAAAAGAACTAAGCTCAACTTCAAAAAAAAAGAAAAAAGAAAAGAAAAAATACTGAGTCCAACCCTAGTATAAGGCTTAACGTTTTCCTCCATTATCTCTGGTAAGAATTGAACCAGGTTGTTACCTCTAGACCTGGATGGAAAAGCTGAATTCTGTTTCAGACTAAAAGAAGAAAACGTCTCTTCACTTTAAAGAAGTTGAAGTAGAACAAGATGAAGTCATTTATTGGGAAAAAAAAAAAATCCATGGGAAAGAGTTTAAAAAGCTATAAGAATTCAAGACTACTTCCAAAGCTATTAATTTTCTAAACCATAAATTGCTGAAGGAGAGTAAAGATGGAGAAACTATAGGAATACTGACTAGTGGAGATGACCCTGCCTCCTATCAAGAGCATAAACGGTTTCATAGCCAGACCTGGAAATGGCATATATTATTTCTGCCCAGGTCCCATCAGCCAGATGTCAGTCATATGGGCCCTCCTAACTGCAAAGGAGGCTAGGAACTGTAGTCTTTATGTAACTAGGAAGAAGAAAATAAAACAGATTTGAGAATATTATTTCTGCCCTCAATTATAATAATTTCTACAATTCTATCCTCAGGTTTCCACTTAATATTTGAGACGACAATTGTATAAATGAACCAAATGAACATTATCCCTAACATCGAACACTTTTCTTCAACTATTATAGGGAGGACATTAAATATTTATTGAATGAATGAATAAATTAACCTCATAAGTATGGACATGACAAATGAATTAACCTCACAATATGGACATGACAAGTTTACCATCCTAGAAGTCTGGGATGTGGAAACCAGAAAAGGAATTCCCTTTGACTATTCTTCCCACTGACTTTCACTTTCTCCCCAGAAATTAAATGGCTATAGGTTACTCTGAAGAGCATAGAATGATAGAATAAATTCTAGAACATAAGATCAAGGGTTGAGTTTTGGCTTTAACACTTTCTAGATGTGTAGTCTTTAGCAGAGCCCTTAACCTTAATGGGCAGCAGATTCCTCATCTATAAAGCATGGTGGGAGTGTGTATATGGAGACTATCCTGGGACCCATCCAATAGTCCTTTCACATCTTCTTGGATAACAGAACCCCAGATTTTTTTGTAAGTGGCAGTGTGCTCAGCCCCAGGGGATTGGTCATGATGGCTTAAGTCAAGGGAGGCAATTCTTTTCAACGCCAAGTAGTCTAAAGGTAGAATTGTGAACAGGTTATGGACAATGAGATTAAGGGGAGACCTGCTAGAAGCTTTCAGGGAGAGTTTTCTTCCCTTATGGAAGAGAGTGTACATGAGGAAAAGGCCCCGTTGGCCCCATCCACTTCCTTCTCCTTGGGATGCAGCTGTGTCAGACTGTGACACTTAGTCTGCTGCAGCTTGCCCAGGACCAGTGTGTATTGCACAAACACTGAAGATCCACAGGAAGATCAGAAGAGCCCGGATCCTCACTTGACATTGTTGAGCTTTTGAAACAACCCTGGGACAACCTATGTCCGACCTTAGTGTTCCATGAAAAAATGTGCACTCATGGTTTAAAACCACTTTATTTGCATATCCTGTTACTTGCAACCAAGAGCATTCCAAACTGAAAAAAAGTAGATGACTTTGCTGAGGTCTTTCTACTCCAACACTGTCAGTCTTAAACAATATGTTGAAAGAAAAGAGGCAACTATCCAAGAATCTATTAAGGGATAGGAAACATTTAAACAAGGGAGGTGGGAGGAACAATTGAAGGTGGCTAAACCCAGATCTGGCAACCAGGTGACAAGAATGGCATAAAAGCTGATATGCAAATTGGAATGCCCATAGAAACAGAAAATCGGGCCAGGTCCCTGTGGAGGATAGAAGAGAGCTGGTAGAAGTCCATGGGAATAAAATTAGTAAATATAATCCAAACAAATGTGCAACTTTATCAAGAAACAAATGACCATTTAAAAAGTCTTTTGAAATGACATTCATTCAAAGCAGGCACTGTCTTTTGATAAGTAAAAGAGAACTAAAAACCAGTAGCTTTAAAATGATCCCTTTCTATCTAAATTTTATGTGTCTCTGGTTTTTTTTTGTAACTGTCATCTTTCTAGAAAAGACCACCTATGGTCAGATGATTAGAACAAATTGAAAGTCAAACCAGAATAGGGAATGAAAGAGCTGAAGGTTGTTTACAACTCTCATACAGAAAAAAAGAAGTTATTCACTGCCTGTGCCTGATTCTGTAATTGACATTCTTGTAGAAAACCTGTGAGCATTGTCTGGCACTGTATCTGGTATTTATAAGACTCTCCATAAATATTGGTTGAATCTTGATTTTTGTGTACTTAACTGTTCTATTTAGAACAGTAACCAGAACAAATTGAAGGGCATCAGTTAACAATGAACAAGCAAGAACACTTCCAAGATCTACCAGAGGGACATAAAAACCTCGGGTGCCACTTGGAACAGCAGATCAAATCTAGAAGCCTGGTATTTGGGTAACATCTTTTAATATAAAAATGACCAATATGTATTGAAAGTGCTGTGTTCCATACATTCTACAATCATTATCTCCTTTTGTGCTCAAAATATTCCTCTGAACCAGAAATCTTTATTTATCTTTATTCTCTTCATTTTACAAGTAAAGGAACTAAGAATTAGGTTCAGTCCCCTCACAAGGTCATTCAGCAGAGAAAGTACCAGAACCAGGACTCATGCAGCCTCATTCTATCTGACTCTAAAATCCACTCTCTACCACTGTACTACACTACCTCTCAGGAAAAGAAAAATAAGAGGAAGATGAAAAGGAAGAGAGGGTTCTGTCGCAGTCAGGGTGAGAAGGAAGTTGCTTCTCCGGGGAGGCAGGATCAAAGAAATGCAGGCTCAGAGAAGGAAGTGGAAATCGAACAAAATCTTTCTTGGAGAGTTGAGAGCGTTGGGGAAGGGAGATGACTCAGTGTGGAACAGGTAAAACTAAAGAAATAAAATGAAATGCTGACTTCTTAAATAATCTGGGAGGGGAAAGAACTGGGCAAAGAACAGTTAAATTCAGTTATCAGTGCATCTGGACTTCTCTGCTAACAGAAAATCTCGAAAACAAGTTTTTACCTCCTTTACTGGATTCTTCCTAATTCAGCTTTTTTGATATCTGATGGAGCTCTCATTCTGCAAAAAGCAAAACATTTGATGAATCCTCCTCTTGCCTTGTTAGCAATTTCTTCTTTTAGAAGATCCAGGGAGCAATGAGGAGGGGCATGTGACTGGGGGTGGGGGGACTTTGCTGATGAGATCAGATTTTTCAAAGGGCATGTACAAGAGGGAATGAGGGACACATAATCAAGAACGAATGCACAGAACTAGCAAAGCCCCGTAAGAATAAAGTCAAAGAGTCTAAAGCCCAAATCTCAGAGGCTGGTAAAAAATACTAAGAACAATAAAACAACAACAACAAAAAAGAATTCTTTTAGTTCATATAGAGAATGGATTGACTGCTTGGAGTTGAAAAACAATGCTAACCAATTTTTTTTTGGCAAAAATCAAATTAGAATAATTATTAATAAAGAGGTTAAATAAAAAATGTGAATGAGATCTAGAGGGACCATCAGAGATGGTACAGAAACCGTGGTTGGGCAATAGCAGAGTTGTTACCACCCCTAGGTTTCAAGGATCCAGAGAGAGAAAATTTACCAGAACCTGAAACAAGAGGGTTATTTAAAGCACAGAGGGTTGAGAGAAGCAGTCTCCTTCCAAAGAAGGACACAGCAGACCTAAGGTTACCCGGCAAGAGGGGAACTAGGGGCACAAATCCCTGACCTTCTCTCCTCCCTTCCTCCATTCTCCCGCCAGAGCTCCCCACCAGCCAAATCCAGCTGTGATCTGGAGGGTTTGATGAAGGACAGGCAGGGGAGCCTCCTAGAGCAGGAAGCAGATTGGAAAAGGCTAAGAATGAATCTTGGAGATCCACAGAAGATAGCCTGCAACTGCTTCAAGGCCTTTCTTTGTACTTCTAAACCTACCACACACAGTGGGCACAAATAGTAACCAGAACACATCTTTCAAGCTTTCTCTGGCTCTAACCACTTCTGTTTGCTTTATCTATACTTTATTTCTGAGCTGCTGTTAATGGGGCAACTCTTCTCCCATGCTACAAATATTCTTGCTGCAAAATGCCTCCTTTCTAACATTGCTGCAAAGGATCAAGTTCTGTAGGGCTGTCCAGGTTTTGTGGGATGAGAAGAACCACATGTCTAATTGCTTTTAGGCCTACAGCAGAGATAACTGGTGCCAAAGAGTCATGTTTCCCTTCTATTGTTTAGTCTTGACTCTAAGAAGCAGCCACTCAATGAGGGAACTACATATCCCAGCCTCACATTCTTCATTTTTTGCTTTTTTTATGATTTTATTTTGGGGGATTGATCTCAGGGGCATTCAACCACTGAGCCACATCCCCAGCCCTATTTTGTATTTTATTTAGAGACAGGGTCTCACTGAGTTGCTTAGCACTTGCCATTGCTGAGGCTGGCTTTGAATACTTGATGCTCCTGCCTCAGCCTCCTGGGATTACAGATGTGCACCGTCATGCTGTCTGTCACTTTCTTCTTGATGGAGATCAGGTGATTCATTCTGGCCAATGGAATAAGAGTAAAAATGATGAGCATCTCCATAAAGCCAAGGCATATGTCAAGTCTCTGGTATGACCTCTGCTCACTCTCCCTTCCATAGCAACCCAGGTCATGTGTAAGAATGGTAGTGAATATCCTAATCCTCAAATGACCACTTACATGAAAGCCACTCAGGAGACTCATCTGATCAGGATGCTACATATTTATAGTGAGAAGTAACTTTCACCTTGTTGGTAGTTAGCTTATCCTGACCAATGTAAGACCCTTTGCCCTATAGTTACTTCCTATAATCCCCTTTCAACTCCCCCCCCACAGGGTGCAAATTATAGTAATTGGAATAAAACATCGGGGTAGAAAATCACCTACTAGCTAGATATCCGAATTACTTTCTTTTGGTGAGATTGCAGTTTGAGGCAGTTCTGGAAGCAGAAAGAATATGGTATTTGGAGTATTTGAGTCCAAGTTCTACCACTTATTTATGCAGCCTAACCTTGAGAGATCCCATCAGCTCTTGTCTCTGTCAAACAAGGATATTAATAAAGCTTCCCTGTCAAGTTGTTGTGAGGATCAAATAAGATAAGGGACATGGAAACATTCTGTTCACTGTAAAGCTGTGGGCAAAATTAGTTCTCTTCTCCATTAAGAGGGAGTCAAGTTGCATTTGCCTTTCAAGATCATTCTCTCTGGACATGGTGTTGTCAAATTAATTCCCAGCCCCTTCTTTTCTCTCATGGTCAGGTTCACTGCCTTCCACTCTCACCTCTATTAACAAGAAAGTAGCTCTCTTTATTGTTTGGAACTTTTGTAATTTGAGTTTTGCCCAAGGAAGAATGATTTTTTAAAAAAAAAAATGGGTCCAAAAACAAATTAATAGAAATAACTTCTGTAGATTTGGAGGCCATGGTTTACAGTAAAGCTCGTTCTTTGCCCTGGGCATGTTGAAGTTGTTGGATTTCTCCTGTGCACACATACACACAAAAACATGTATCCAAATGCCCTGCTTTTTTTATTCCAAGTAGAATATGGCTTTTTGCTATTTTAAATTCCCTCTACCTTTATACATAAGTGTTTAAATTGCTGAGGATTTTTTTTAAACTCAAGATATAAAAAATAGATGTAATACAGTCCTTTTGCTTTATAAATGAGAAAACAGAAACTCAGGAATATTTCATGACCCAGTTTAAGCCTTACTTCCTCCAATAAATTTTCCATTTTCTCTTCCTCATGAGCTGAGTGGGTACCCTTTCTCTATCCTAGAACTGGTTGGTGAGGGGCTGGGGGTGTAGCTCAGTGGCAGAGCACTTGCCTAGCACATATGAGGTACTGAATTCTATCTTCAGCACCACATAAAAATAAATTAATTAAATAAGGGTATTATGTCCATCTATAACTAAAAAATATTTTTTAAAGCAAAAAAGAACTGGTTGATGATAAAACCAGATTCTGAACTACTTATAGGTAGGAACCAAATCTTTTCTGAATCTGAGGGCCATCTGCCCTCCATCTACAACGACTTCTTCATGGCCACCTCTAGCTGCTAGGGAGATTGGGAAAGAGAGTACAGTTGTTTCTTGGTATTTGGGGGAAGTAATTCCAGGGCCCCTTGCATCCCAAAATCTATAGATCCTCATATAAAATGGTATAGTATTTTCATACAACCCATCCACACCTTCCTGTATATTTTGAATTATGTCTAAATTGCTTTTAATATCTAATACAATATAAATGCTATAAATGCTAACACAATATAAACAACTATTTATAAAAGTGTTGTTTAGAGAACAATGACCAGTGGGAGGAAATGCCTGTAGATGTTCAATACAGGTACAGCCATTGTGGGCCCAGCTACATAGTAATCTAGACAAAGCCTGAGGCACATGCTCAAATAATAAGGGATGAGGGGAGAACCAAGACCTGTGAGATAGTGCAGAGTATGCTTACACTAACACATCACTTCATTTGCCTGGATTCAGCATAATGTTTGGTATATGACAAATTCAAATTTTGCTTTTGGGAACTTTCTGGAATGTTTTTCATGTATGTTTTAAACCCACCGTTGGTTGAATTCACTGATATGGAATCATGGATATGGAAGGCTGGTTGTATTTAGCTGAGCACATTGTCTCCACAAACAAAATCAGGATCAATGAGCAAGGAAGAGGGTGAGTTGGCTACTCATGTGTCTGCTGCAGCCTGTGACATGAGTTGAGTTGAGTTGGCTACTCATGTGTCTGCTGCAGCCTGTGACATGATTAGAGCTCAATAAATATTTGTAGACTGAATGTCAGCATCAGACATACAAAGTTGAATGAGTAGATGAAGTTCACCTGAATGACAGAACAGGAGCTAGGAATCAGCTCCTCCTAATACCTGATGCTGCCTCCATACCATAAATCCACTGTCATGAGTACCTGGCTCTGTACTCAATTTTTAAGAGTTACCATCTTCTCTCTGCAGTATATTAATTTCCTTAAAAGATATTCAACCAATTCTATCAGGGGTTTTCTCTCCAATTCCTCTGAAGTATTTACCCAAATACTTCAGTAAAAGGAATATGACACTGATGGGAATCTAATAAATATAAATCTTGTGGTGGGGGTTGTAAGGTTTTCCCAGTTTTTGACTTTACTTACTTCCAGACTTAAATTTATCATGACATGTAACTTTATCTCACCCAATACTACAGAGTTATTAATAACTTGCCCTGCTGAATAAATCAGAGACCCTGAAAAATTGTGGAGTAAGCATTTGTTATGCACATATGGGATTTACCAAGTTTCCGCATTTGAAGATCTAATATTAGGATTCACATGTTGTGCAAGGCTTTGCAGAAGAAAAGACATTTCACATCTTCTTGACTTTGAAAATAGGATATACTTTGCATGCAAAAAAAAAAAAAAGTCTGCGAGAGTATAGTGATTTTGAATAAATCACCAAGAAACAAGGTTTCAGTAAACTATAAGAAACACATTACCAAAATAAATTCAAATGCAGTGGGAGGGGGGAATTAAATACAAAGATTTACATGCACAAATGGATCAGGAGTTAGCAGCCTGCACTTGAGGTTGGAATCTGCTTGTAATTAGCAGGGTGACCTTGCAGAACCCCTTTAACATTTGAGGACTTCAGTTCTGTCACCTGTGAGAGGTGATCTTTACCCTCCCTGCCACATGCATGTTTAAACTGTAATTTTATTTCTTAAGCACGGAGACAGAAATAATTCATTTGTGAAATTATGTCGTGGCAAAAAAAAAAAAATGCTCTCCTGTTACGAGTGTTACCTTGGATTTAAGGCTGATGATTTAAATTTTTTTATTTAGCATGGATTATTATTATTTGGACATTTTGTTATTATTTGCAATTTATAGGTTTGTAATCATTGGGCACATGCCTTTTTAAATTCTATTCTTTCACTTAATATTTTATCTTCCATATTTGTCTGCACATCCACAAAGTCTTCATAATGATGGTTTGGGCAGTGCCATGTTATCCCATTTGGATGGAAAGTCACAATTTTGGAGTCATCTTCCCTCCCTCTCACCCTCCACATAAGTTCCTCAGCACATCCTGTCAGCTCTGTCCTCAGATTACATCCAGGATTGACATGTCCCCACTCCATTACAACCCTCCTTATCCAAACCACCACAATCCTCTGGCTAGATGGTCTTCATGCCTTTCCAGCCGGCATCTTCTCTTCCACACTTGCCTGCTACAGTGAATTTCACATGCTGCATTGGGAAAGGCCTTTGCAAAACATTAAGTTGTGTCTTGATCCCTCTCTTCTCAAAACTCCCCAATAACTGTCCGTCTTGGAGTAATCCACATCCTTCCCATGGCCTAAGGAGTCTTCACTGTCTGGTTTCCCTTCTCCTTCCCTGATCTCATCTTGGACCCCTCTCCCCTGGTTCATTCTACACCAGCCCTCCTGGCTCCCCTATTGTTAGAGTCTGTAAACAAGTCAGGATGGCGCCTGGCAAAATGCCAGAGGGAGTGGTTTGTGAAGTAACACCAGGGAGCCGTTAAGTGTGGAGATTCCTTATTGGTTGACTGATGTATCTAGTTTATGCTAATTAGATAAGCTGTGTGGAATGTATAAATACTGCTCCTGTCCTGCAATAAACGGCTTCCACTCCTGCTGTATCAATCTACACAAGTTCTTCGTCACCCCCCCCCCCCCCCGTTATTTTGCTGCAGCCGGACTGCGGCACCCTATTGCTCTTTCCTGGGTCACTCCTGTCACAGAACTTTGCAGTCACTGTCATCTCTGCTCAGAAAGCTATTCTCCCACAGATCCTCCTGGTTTACTTAATATTTTCAGGTTCAAAAGTCACCTCTATTAGAGAGCTCTTTTCTCATCACCCTATCTAAAATAGCAGCTGACCCAGCATTGTTTATGACTACCTGAAATATTATGTGTTTGTTTATAAACTTCTATCCAAACCACCAGCACCCAACAAAATGGAAAATGCACAAGAACAGCGACTTTGGTTCAATGCTATAACCCCGCACTTAGAGCAGGGTGATCTGTAAACAATTGTTTTAATGAATTGATTACATCATTTCATAGGTGTAAAATTTCAGGTTAGGAGTCTGGCTGATAGAACAATTAGGAGACAAGACAAAACAAGCAAAGGGATTATCTCATGAAGATTCCTGTACACTGTGCTAAACCTTGAACTTCATCATTGCCTAATCAGAAGCCATAGAAAAACTTTAATGACAGAGATGAAAAAATCCTATTGTGTTAAAAAAAAAAACAACCTCTTCCAATAGTGGAGAGAATACAGTTGACATGAAGGAGACAGAAAGCAGTGATAGATACAGTATAGGCAGGCCTTTGTAAAAGTCCATTGAGGAAAACACTAGAATTCCCAGTCTGAGGATATGGCTCAGTGGTAGAGCTCAGTGGCATATTCAGCATGTGTGAGGCCCTGGGTTCAATCCCCAGCACCAAAAAGGAAACACACACACACACACACACACACACAAATAGAATTATAA